ATGTGGAGCAGGCACAAGAACGAATTTTCGAATTTTTCGGCCTGGCATCTACGGAGAAAAATACCAATTTCATTCAGGCGAAAATTAAATATTTCACCACGAAGAAAAAGGACAAATTCGATGACTGAAGAAAAACCCACTCTCTCGCTCACCACAAAGAAAAATTTCTAGGTCCAGCTATTTTAAAGGGAAAATTTCCGGATAATAAACTTGTCCCCAGTGATATCGGCATTAATCAAAAAATTTTGATGTCCATTTCTGTTTGTGAACATTTTTTAGTACACTTTATTTGCTGGTAATTGATATTAGGAATATCTGATCCTTCGCTCTGATCAAAAACCGACAACTGTGTTTCTGTTCTTTTAGAATAGAAGCAGCACTATGTTTCTTTGTTTTTGTTGTCATTTTAAAAAATGTTATTTGATAATCAACCCACTTTTTACATCTGTTAAAATGAGAGACGATCGATGAACGTAATTCAAAATCGATGTCAAATGAATTCTGATAAGATGTTAGGATCGAGTCATTATTCTCCCTCGTTTTCTCTATAGTTGAATAGGATAGATCAGGCCACTCTAGGAATTTCTGACTCCGTTTGAATACTACTTGGAAATACACTGAGATTCCCAAAACAATTTTCATCGGCAGACAGATAAAAAGTTTTATCTTAATATCCGGTTTTTTTATACGTTTGTCTCATCAAGAACGCTTATATATATACCAATCACTTGAGAAGATACTTTATTTTTAATAGAACACTTAGCTTTATCTAGCCATGAGTTTTGTGCAAAATCGGCTTTTCTGCTGTAGGGAACGACAACTAGCTTAGGAAGGTTACATATTATCCCATTTCTCATTTTACGACGTTTTAAATAACTGATCACTGTTTTTCCCCATAATTATTCTCTTGTGTGATTATCTATATACAAAAGCTAAAAACAAACTGTAACTTAAATATGCAATTGAAGTATCATATGGATGTATGGAAGAGAGAATTCAAGTCTTGTTGATTCGTTCTCTTTTTTATCTCATTAATTTTTGAGAATAGTGACAATCTATGAGTTCAATGTTTTCTGAAATGAAACAGATGTTAAAGAAGAGAAAAAAAAATGATCCAGTTGTCTTTAGAATATCACACGTATTCGCTATCGATGTTATGTTAATAATGATGTGTAACAAAAAGCCCATAGAACAATAGATAAAAAGTGATAGTTGACAGAACTACTGAAAATGTTAAAAATCTCTTCGAATTTGTTTTCTTTTACTAAAAGATTCTTTAACATTGGATAACTTTACTTATCGGCTAGAGTAAATGAGCATGTAGTCTTCATTCGAGATGTGAAATCATCAGTTTTCAATAGTATTGCTCAGATATTATTAAGCAAATAATATATGTACAAAAAAAACATATTTCTTCCTCTATCGATCTGTAGGTAGTAGATCTTCTCACTAGTCTATTTTTGTTTCTTTTATACGTATTTTTATCCAACCTTGATCTCCTACTGCTCGTTCGTTCACGTCCGTCGATCGGACGTTCAAATAATCAAAAAAAGAAAAAAAAAAAGTGAACATTTATTTGTTCCTCATTTTCAAGGGCTGTATCATCATCGTCCGCGTATCATTTTTTTCTCTTTTTTTTTTCTCTCATCAGTACTGTACAAATTGAAAATAATCGCTGTATATGTGTGAGACACATACATACAAGTAAAACACCAGCACCATTTCCGTCTATTAGAAGAGGACATGATGATGAATTCAATAGAACATTCTAAAACATTGTGAGTATTGAATTAATCTTCAAAATACTCTAAGAGACATGTACATCTGATGTGATATAATCATTAGATCGTATACGCCTTAATAAGTAACAATTTTAAAATATGCTGATAAACTTGTGTATGACATTGTGTATATGTACAGATTGTGTGAAAAAGGATTTTTTTTTTCTTGAAGAAAACAGAATGCGAATGTATATGTTTTGTATTAAATGATGTGAATAAAGAGAAATATAAAAAAAAAGGAGGATGTGGCATTATGTAGATATAGAATTGTTGTTTTTTTTATATTCACATCTTTAAAAGTTTAATCACAAACTACAGCAGTTGTAGGACACAAATTCGATATTTCTATTGATATGCAGTAGAAGACGAAAGAAAAAGGATGCATTCTGCGTTACGGTAAGAAAATTAAACAAGTCAAATCCAAAATTTCATTATTGAAGATATGTGTATCGGTTCTACTTTTAAACAAATTGATCTATTGATAAAAAATACAATTTTGATTTAATAATTTAGACCTAAACCACAATCGAAACAGACATATTCGACTGTGATACCATCAACATTACCGAATCAAAAAACTCATCAGAATGGACATTTATCGAAACCATTACATACAAATGGTAACGGCTACCATCATCATTCTACTCAACAATCTTTATCATCTACATCGTCTACAACATTAGAACGATATCAAAATATACCATCTTTATCATCATCACAAACAGCATTTCAATGGTCATTAGGTTTAATTAATTCGAAAGGAAAATATTTAACATCAGAAAATTTTGGATGTAAAATCAATGCAACAGGAAATAGTTTACGTAAAAAACAAAAATGGATAATACACTATAATATACAAGATGATGTTATTTATTTAATGAGTCCATTAAATTATTATTTATCAACAGATAAATATGGTCGTTTAACATGTGATAAATTAACACCTGATATTGATTGTCAATATCAATTAGAATTTTCTAATCATCCATTAACAAATGGTCGTTGGGCATTTAAAAGTGTTGTCTACGGAATGTTTTTAGGTGGTGATGGTGATCATCTACATTGTTTTAGTAAAACACCAGAATGGTGGCTTCCACATCTCGCTTTACATCCTCATGTAAGTTAAACAAATTTATTTATTTTATTGTTTTGTTAATAGAAAATTTGACAAAACTATTTTAGATTAATTTAAAACATATTTTACGCAAGAGATATGCACGATTAGATGAAAATGAAATTCATATTGACGAAATTGTACCATGGGGATCGAATGCATTAATAACAGTAGAATATTGTGATGATAAATATGCGATTCGAACATGTGATCGACTTTATTTTCATAAAGAAGGAAAATTGATACAACAATGTACAGATGAATCATTATTCACTATTGAACTTAATAAAGGATATTTGGCATTTAAGGTATATTTGCGTTCTTTATTACCAAAACAACATCATTTTAACAAAATTAATTGAACATCATTATTTTTCCTATAGGATTGTGAACATCGATATTTGACAGCTGTTGGTCCACAAGGCATAATGACAACAAGAAATAAAGTGGCTGGAAAAGATGAATTATTTTTATTAGAAGAAAGTAAACTACAAGTATGTTTTACGGCACATAATGGAAAATTAGTTTCAATAAAACAAGGTAACCTATTGATTTTTCACATCTTTTTGTTATTTTAATAATGAAAACGAATTTTTGTCTATATAAATCTAACAGGTATTGACGTATCAGCAAATCAAACAGAAATAAGTGATAGTGGAATATTTCAACTTGAATATGATGATAAAACTGCTGCCTATCATATTCGTACATGTAATAATAAATATTGGAAACTTGAAGGAAATGGAGTACAAGCAACTGGTGAAAAAAAGTATTTATTTATTTATTTTTTTAACTTTAATACACATAGATTTCGTATATATGTTATGTTTTTTTGATGTATAGTATGAGTGAAACATCATTTCAAATTCAATCGTTAAATGATGGTCGTATAGCTTTTCAAGCACCAAATGGAAAATATATTGTTCCACATCCTACTGGACATATGCGAGCTGTTAGTGATACACCATCAACAACTGAAACATTTTTATTAAAATTTATTAATCGTCCTATAATTGTTTTAAAATGTGATTATGGTCTCGTAGGATATCGTAATAAAACATGTTATAAATTAGAATGTAATAAATCAACGTTTCATGTATTTCAACTTGAAAATGATCATGATGGTACTTATTATCTAAAAGGTTAATAATTTTTAATTTTTATTATAATAATAAAGAAAGATAAAAATAGAATCATTTTGTTTCTATTCTAGGTTCACATGGTCTCTATTGGGAATTATTAAATGATTCGAGTATAAGTGTTAGTGGACGAGAACCATCAAAATTTTCAATTGAACTTTGTCAACAAAATCGAATAATTATTAAAGCACCAAATGGTCAATATTTAAAAGGTGAACAAAATGGTTCAATGACAACATGTTCAACAATAAATCAAGCAACATCATGGGAATTTTAATATATATTTACACGTTTTTGAAAATTTTTTCAATTCATTAATTCAACAATAATGATAACGTGTAAATATATACATATATATATCTATTTTCTTTGATGGTCTTGTTCTATTCTAATATTTAAATAATTGTACAATAATTAGTGTATGGTATTAATACGATTGTCAACAGTGTTTCGTTATTATATTCAATATGCCCTATATCTATCTATCTATTTACTATAGAATCATCTTTAAAAGACATATTCGTTTGTCATTTACATAAGGTGTGTCATTATCGACATATATATTGCATAGAGTTCAATTAAAAGAGATGAGAATGACTCAATATTTAATCTCAATCAATAATAATAAAACTACTAGCTTTTCTTATAATATCTATTCGTGCTGATTGTTTGTATTTTTTCTTTTTTTCATTTTTGTTTTTCTTCTGCTTTTTCATTTGCGAAATCAAACAAACAATACATATATATGAATGAATCTAATATATCATTCTTATGTGGGTAGTTAAATTAAATTTATTTATTGACACAACGAAAATTGTTCGAGGTAGATTTAATATTTAAGTCTATGTAATTATTGTTCATGATAAATATAAGATGTGAATTGAATAAGATGAACATATTTTTTTGGAAAAAAGAGTATATGTTCAGTGTTTCATGTCTTCCATTCGTGCAATCAGCCAGGGGTGACACATGGACATTCTGAAATTTGATTTCTAACACATTTTTCTATTGTAGTCGATTTCGATTGTTCCAATTAAATGATTATTCTTTCCATTAGCGAACCATCAGCGAGACAATTGGGAGCAGTTGACTCTCCTGGAAAAAAATATCAAGGAAAGAATGATATTTCGTAGCACAGTATCTGTTCGAAGTTCAAAGTAAAGTAATCCCTCCCTCCATAATAGAAGGCCACCTGGTCTTCTATTTTGTCCTGCAAGTCAAGGTCTAAAGGGTGGTCTTCTATTGCGGTCAAATTTTTTGTCGCCTGCTAGTAGTTCAACGGTAACCCCCACGTACTTGAAGTCCATCCCCTATTAAAAGTACGTTTTGGCGAAAGTTTTTTGAAAATTTCCCTATAGGGGGAATTTTCCCATTTTTTTCGCGGGAGAAATATCAGGTTTTTCTGTCAAATTTTTTTCTGGGTGATGGTCTTCTATTTGGCTTTCAAGTCATATATTCGGCAGTGGTCTTCTAATAGGGGATGGTCTTCTATTATGAGGGGGGGGGGGGGTTAAGAGCAATTGTTGATCGAAAATTTTGATATACAGTTTAATTGAACGCAGGGTGTTTTCGCCCGGAAAAAAATTATCATGGGACGCCGGTTTGTTTT